CTGGGCGGGTAGCCGTTCTGCAGACACTCGCAGGGGATGGTGTACTGGCCGATGAACTCGTCCCCGATGTAGTCGTCGTCCAGCACCACGAAGCGCACCATGGCCAGCTCCGGGAGATTGATCTGGAACTCGAAGCTCTCGTCGAAGATGGGCGCGTCCCCGTTCTGGTGCACCGTTTTCGTCCTCTGCTCTGCGCAGTCCGCAGGGATGCCGTGGATCTCCACGTAGACGTAAGGGTCCACCACGTCGCCTTTGGCACCCGAGCCTTTGGGCTTGGGGAAGTTCTGCCCGCTGATGATTTTGATGTGCAGGAGCTGCGGCGAGACCCCCGGCACGGAGTCCTTGGTGTTGGCGCTGAAGAAGGACACCTCCTCCCTCATGATGGCCGGCCGCAGGACGTAGCCGCAGTTCCCGTTCTGCCGGAACCAGCCGATGTTCAGGTCCATCATCAGCCCGGGCGTCTGGAAGTTCATGGCCACGATCTGGCAGCCGCACTTCCAGAAGTCCTGCGGGTTCATGTTGCTGGAGTCGATCCTCATGGGGCTGGGGAAGACCCTGGCCAGGAAGCGCTTGTTGTAGTTGACGAAGTCCCCGGGGTTCTCGTTGGCGTACTTGTTGGCGAGCACCTCGTTGAAGGAGCAGACCTCCCAGTACTTCTGCACCTGGAAGGACACCTGGAACTCCTTGAACTGCACGGACTTGCAGATGCTCACCAGCTCCGACAGCTCCTTGCACAGCTGGAAGCGCTTCACGGGCACGCCGGTGGCCTGCTCGGGGCTCTCCTTCCCCATCCTCTGGGACATCTCCGCGCCCTCGTCTTCGTCGGTCACGTCCCCTTCTACTCCGGAGCAGTTCGAGGACAGCTTCTTGGCTTTGATGAGTATTTTCCCTTTCAGGACATCGGGGGACGGCAGGTAAGAGTCCTCGACGTTGGGTGACGTGGTGTAGAGCTTGTCCCCGAGAATTTTCTTCATGTGCTGAACCATCACCTTCTGCTGCTTAATGGAGCAGTGGTTCTCCAGACACAAGATGAGAGGGTACTCGGAGGCGAAGAAGGCGTACTTGTTAATGATGTCGATGACGCTGCGGAAGACGATCTGGGAGGTCATGGTGTGGCCCGTGTAAATCACGGGCTCATTGTCCGGCCCGTCCCACACGTCCAGCTCGACGCTCCGGCAGCCCATCTTCAGAGCGCGGATGTACCCTGTGATGTCAGAGGGGCCCCGGAACTGATCCTCTATCAGGTAGGTGTTATGAGAGGAGTTTATAAAGTAGTGAGACAGAGGCTGCTTCATGTCCTGGCAGACCTTCTTATGCTCCGGGTCGAAGATGTAGCAGTCAGGCGACATAAGGTAGTTAGTGAACCCGTCTATGGAGAGCCAGCCCTTTTCCTGACCCTCCTTGGATGGCTCATATTTGTGAATAATTTCAAGGCTTATTTCCTCATTGATGTGCGCCACACCCTGTTCCGCCTCGAGGAACATCATAAGGTCCTTGGTATCAAGGAATTCTTTATTGCTTGAGAACTGAACTAAAAGGAAATAAATCTCAGGTCTTGTACAAAGCTCATGAAAAACCTCAATAAATTCTTCCTTGGTGACTTCGGTACCAGCTTTGTCCTTTGATTTGTGCAGCTCTTTGAACTTCAGCTCGATTTTGCTCGTTTTCAGCCCGGGGTTGAGGTCGCGGAGACACTGCACAGCACTACACAGGGTTATGTGGCCCAGGCCATCTGCATCGAGCTCCCCAAACATTTGTGAGACCCAGGAAGTCCTCATGTTGTCCTGGCTGCTCTCTAGCATATCAAGGGTATGTTTCCCGTAAGAAATGAGGTACCGCAGCCCCGTCACCCAGATGTTCGCCACATCTGCAGAGTTGGCCACCAAGTCAAGGGACTCGTAATTCTCTCCGTGGATGACGGAGAACGCGCAGTCTTCAGAGATCTGGTCGGAAACGCCATTGCTGCGGAATATGTCGGTGTTTTTCCCTGTTCTCACCTCCTTGATGGACTTTATATCGATCTTGGCTTTCTCGGAATCCTTCTTGGACGGCTCCCACCTCAGGCTCTGCATGTCGGCGTCCAGGAGGAAATAGCGGTGGTAGATTCTGGAGTTGGAGCGGACCTTCTTGAGCTCGGAGCCCTCCACCATGGAGTTGATGCAGTCGCTCGCACTGCTGATCTTCTTCTCCGTCGGCATGCTGCTGAACGAGACCGTCTTCTTGCGCTCACGTTTCTGTTTCGTACCATCCTGGGAGGAAGAAGGAAAGTGTGTTAACGTGACATCCATTCAGGCTTTGGTGATGTTCAGGACTAGGAATCAAAACAAACCGCACTATTAGGATTGTCCATTCTGGGTCTTGCGTGAATGAGACTCATCCCTCTCGAAGCTCAGAAGTGGCCTTGGGGCGTACAGCCTCATAGGGAGAGGAAGAATTGATTATCGAGTAACTGCAATTCGCATCTGCTAAGAAACACGGATTCAGGGATGTAGAATAAAACCTGGTCCATGCCCCTGGCTACACCATTTGCAGGGCCTAGGAAGAAATGAAGACACCATGCTCACAGAGCACTAAGAATTTCAAGACGGTGACAGGGACTCGCGGTCAAGCACAGGTCCCTTCTGAGCGCAACGTCTGTGTGTCACACAGCTTGTCCCTCCAGGAAGCAAGCCCTGCTCCCAATCAGGGTTCCCAAAGGGTCGCCCTGAGACCTCCCCCTCGGAACTCAGAATCGGCTAAATGCAGATTCCGAGGCCCATGAAATCAAGTCTCTGGGGTGATGCCCAGGAATTGGCGTTGTGGGCACACCCCACGTGAGGGGTATGTACACTAAAGTTCGGAAACCATTTCCTGACCACTTGGGCTCACTAAGATGTCCGGGTACTTTCTAGAAAATCATCTGCCAAACGCTCAGAAACAGGTAAGCGTCAACATTGAAAGTGTGTGAGAGGGGTAGGTTCTAGGTCCCTGCAGACATCCCCGGCTCTGCAGAGTTTCATAACAGATCAGTCATGTCCTGAACCCCGTAGATAGAGTTTCACCATTGCAGCTGTGTTAAGTCTGCAAGGAAGGTCTAGATTTTAGCTGTAGGTGCTTCTAAAATTCTAGAGATGACTTGATTAAAAACCTACTACTATGAGCCAAGCTGATGCTTAGAACAATGATGCCCTAAAGACTTTCAGTATTAAGAGATTCCTAATACTGCCAAGGGGAGAATGTCAGGTGGTACCCATTTCTAAGGAGGTCTGCATCGACAGTAAAGCACTCCTCAACCTCCCACGTAACGTAACGTCTCGTCCTCAGGGCTGGTACATGTGCATTAATGTCTTTCCCTGTGTGGATGCCTTTATTATCTGGGGGAGGGAGGGAAGAAAGAGAGAGAGAGAGATCTCAAAACATCTTGAACAATTTTAACCTAAAACACAATATTGCCTTCCGGGAGACATACGAAATGTATGATACATTTTTAGGAAGTTATTACATCCATGAGTGAGGAATGGAGTTGGGGTGATAGGACTTTCATGGCAATAAATGAAAGAGTATGCCAAAATATACAAAGGCAATTCTAATCTTCCTGCTCTGGATAGAATCTATTCTGAATAAAATCCTCTCTATATTTTCAAAACCTATTATGCTATTCTCTATGTCTGAAATTTGAAGGCACTTTTACTTTTTGACTACCTACACTTACAAAAGCAATTTGCAGAATGTAATTAAACTTAAAACTTTAAATCATACGGGTGTCGTTGCTCTCAGAGTTTCAAAATGAACCACGGAGGTTTTTGTGATGTCAGTGCCAAGATAAGACACAAAAGCCAGGAGGCAGAGTATTTCTTTACGGCTCTCGCCTCAGAACAACAAAGCACAAACCCATATAAAACTGTGGCAATTGCACCTGCAGATACGTTGGATTATAGCCGTTCCAAATTCCTAAAGCAGAGATTGTATTCTATTTATTCAAGTGAGTTGGCATGAAATTAAATTTGTAATCGGTCATGCATAAGGGCATGAAGCAAACGCATACACATTCTATTTTTCAGAATGAAAAATGTCTTTACTTTTAAAAAGCTACATTTATCTTTAATAATGACAACCTACTTACTCAGTAAGGAAATTTTATCATCTTTATAAATTGTATCTCAAAGGTGCCACGAGTAAAAAGCCACAGAGATAAATGGAGATGTTTATCTATTGATCCGTTAGAAATATGTAGTGTTTTCCCACCATTGTAATCTTTTATTCTGTCATTATAACAACCACTTTCTAATTTATTACAAATGATACATTTCAAATTCACAGGTGTCTTTGTTATTAGGGGAAAGGGCCGAATAGCAAAGTAGGTTGATGCACACTCACGCTCTCACATCCTGCCCTGTGTTGGAATTGCAAAGTGTGTTGGAATTGCAAAGGTTTCACACTAAAGTCAAAAAGCTGTTGAGTTAAATTACCGTTACGTCAGGGATCGCCTATGCTTGCTTAAGGTCAGCAGCTGGTCAGCAGCAGAACTATGAGCCAGTGTCTGTGCTGACTCGTAAGGCAAGTTAGTCTGAGTGCCTAGAAGTAAAAGCTATGCAGCCTAGATGTGCAGTCCATACAGAGCTTAGACTACGGACACTCAGTGCACATTACTTACATGCACAGACCATCTAAAACCAGAGGGCGGAGAACGGAGGCTTCTCCTGAGATAAAGGACCTCAAAACACCTTAAAAACAGTATAAATAGGGCCAGCAGGTGGCACAGAGGTTAAGGTGCTGGATCCCATAGAGCCAACTCCATAGTTCGAGTCTTGGACCCAGGGGCCTGAAACTCACATCAGGTGCATGTACATGCACGCCCAAGATCCTGAGAGGAGAATGGAGAGAAGGGATTGGGGCACCAGGAATGATTTTACGTAAAGAATCAACTAGAAAGAGGGAACTTTCCTGCAAATTCTGAAAGAATAAAAATGTTCCTAAAAATCATATTTAGCATTAAAAATGGAAATGGCCATACAGAATCCTATGGAAAAACATCTCTATTTCTAACAGAGCTGATTCTTTTTTTTTTGTTGTTAGAAGGTGCATGCACTCACCAGAAAGAGACAGAGAAAACACAGGAAAGTGAGAAAGCACCACTCACAGGGGGTGGTCATGCTGCAACCCTTCAAGTGCCTTTCTCCCTCCCTCCTTTTGGGAGTTTGGGCACGCATGCACACATGCCTGGTATGTTTTTCAAGCTGCTGGGTCCAGGACTCGAACTGCGCAGTCGGCTGGCTGTGTAGGATCTGGCACCCTAACGACCATCAGCTGGCCCGCGTGGCTTACTTCATTTAACAGAAGGCTGTCACTAAAAACACGAAGCTCCTACAATCCCCAGCTGGGACACGGAAGAAAAGGGGCGATTTCATAAACGAGCACAGGCAATCTCATACATGCCCAGTCTGAGACGAGGTAACAGACCGGTGGGCCTCCTCGCCTCTGCTGGCCACCGAGAGCTGACCGACCCAGTGGACTGGGCTCCGGAGGAGGGTTGGAACCCTGTCTACCAGCACACGGCTGATGCCCCGCTGGGAGAAAACCGAGTCCTGTCTCCTACTGCATTTCTCCTGAGTCTGAAAACGGATTTGGTTCCATTTTCTGTTGCTTTCTCATGAACACCATGAGAAAATGAGGCATCGATATCTATAGCTTCAATCCCCTGGCAAACCACGGGGAGGCACTGGTTCTGGTGTCAGGAGACCTAACAAATGGGATGGAGTTCTGGAAAGAAAGCAGCCATTTACCCCTGTGGTTTGTTGTGAATCAAGTTGTTTAATTGGATTATAAATAATGTTAAAGAAAGGGATGGGAGTTTCATGTTTGCTGAAGTGGATCTAGAATTAAAGAGAGTTAAGAAACACTGGGTTACCGGTTTTTTTTACAAAACAAAACAACCCAAGGAGCAACCTGAGGTCTATTACACCCGCTCAGCAAGGCTCGCCCTTTCTTCAGCTCAGTAATAACTCTGGGCTGGAGAGATAAGCCATGCCGGGCACATCAGGGCTACCTTGTGAGCTTTTCCACACATCTTTAAAACTTTGATGTACTCTCCGACGGGAGCAAAAATGAAAAGGAGGATTTGGAGCAAAACGGTCACTCTGAAGGACATTTTAAAAAGTAAGAGGACTTGAAAAAAAGTAAAATAAGTTAAAAAAAGAAAGAAAAGACTAGGTACAGTCGGCGCTGCCTCATGCTCATGTGGAAGGACCCTTTGCTCCAGGTAACAGGACGTACATCCATGGACACAGCAGGTTCCGCTCTCATGCGACACCTTCCACTGTACTCTGAAAGCTCGCCCCCTCAAGTCTGGCTGGGAGTCTATGAGGGCACGGATCTGACAATGGCTTGGGAACCTATGGTAACTTAGAAGTCGTGGAGTAGGAGCGAGTGTAGTTCAGATGGTGACTTAGAGTACAGAAAGCCGAAAGAAAAAGTCTCTCCCACCCTAACAGGCCGATGAGCTATGGAATCATAATTTTTTGTACCATCAGAGAGCTGCGGTCCCGAGACAAGGGAATCAAATTCCAGAGTGACATGCCCTTCCAAGGAAAGCATGACACAGAAGCTGTTTCAGGTTTGGTAGAGCATGGGAGGAAGAGGAGCCACCGTAGAGGCAGATGCAACTTTAAACAATTCCGAGAGGTCAAGTGTGGGTTCGTATATCTATTTAGGTAACTGGGAGCCTCCACCCAGGAAGAGTTGGCATGTATCTGTAAGTCAAGTCTTCTTCCTGGGCACTTCTGAGAAGGGTGGAAGCGGACCAGGAGAAGGAGCTCCTCTCCTGTGCACAGGCGCGTAGTGGTGACTCCTGCCACATCGGACTGACGCTGATCCAGGACAATCAAGACTCCTGACTCTACCAGAAGCCAGCATGGAGAGGCAAGCAGTCTACCATTAGAGCAGGGGCAAGAGCATGCCAAGAGACACCTCTCTGACAAAAGGTGAAAGCTGAGGGAAGAGCAGAAACTCTGAACAAACCCTCTAGTATCCTAACTCCCACCCTAAATACCAGGTAACAGTGGTCCACCAGTGGAGGACTTGAAGTCAGTGGTGCACTAAAGATAACAATGGCAACTCAAAATCCAAACCTGGCTCAATTGCTGGGTAGACTGATTCAGTTTCCTCCAACACTGATTACTTAGAAGAAGAGGAATGCCCATTTCTGAGACTGAACATTATTTACCCTAGTCTTTATTAAAAGATAATGTGTAGCATTTTATAAAAATCGTGA